GACTTGTATAGTGACTTGTATAGTGACTTGTATAGTGACTTGTATAGTGACTTGTATAGTGACTTGTATAGTGACTTGTATAGTGACTTGTATAGTGTCTTGTATAGTGACTTGTATAGTGACTTGTATAGTGACTTGTATAGTGACTTGTATAGTGACTACCCACGTGTTTCCTACTCAAAGATATCTTTTAGGGAAGTGATGGAAAAGACAAAGAGGAAAGCGATAAATGGCTAATAATCAAGTCGAAGAGTCGTAATAAGTCTTCGACTGATAAGGAGAAGCAGATAAATCTACTGATAATCTCCTCGTCCTTAGTATAATACCTGTAGAAAATATAGAAGAAATACTGAATGGCAAGAAACATTACTAAACCAACTCACAAGTATGGATCAATGAGTATATATCTTTGAGAAGGAATTCATCATTGATGAGTGAGAAGAAATTCATCATTGTGAGCGAGGCAATCAGTGCTATTTAATATACACTGTAAGGCTTATGGTTTATGGAATATCCAATGTATAATAGCAGAAGCCTACGAAATGAATGGTCTACTCTATTTCCCACACCTTTGAAAGCTTGCAACGTTGAAATGAGATATACGTAGAGGCTTTCACTCACTTTATTGATTTATTTACATTTGTTTATTTTTATTTATATTATTATTTAAATCCTGATCCCGGGACCTGCTACACTTGAAGAGCTCAGGCGTCCTGCACCAGCGCGTCCTGGTGTAGGATTATTAATAATAATAATTATAATAATAATAATAATGATAATAATAATAATAATAATGATAATAATAATAATAATATTAATAATAACAATAATAATAATAATAAGATAATCTGCTGCCTTACAACAAAAGTGGTGAGTTGGCAATTCAATTTTATTCTGAAGATGAATAATCAAAGGAAACCGGAACATATTGGCCAATTAATATTCAGAATGAATATCAAACTGTAAGGAACATAAAGAAAGATTGTCCTGAGAGATCACTCAATGTTAAATTGTGCACATGATTAGTGGACTACACTTCATCGTGTATAATTATACAGATTAAGTATCTGTTATCATTTGTATTAATTAGTCTCTTGGATTCATTGCCAGGAAATTTATACGCGCATTTGCCATTCCTTGAAAATATAATTCATTATTATTAACGATGATTGTCTTATCTTGCATTTTGCGGAAAATTCATTAAAAAATTAAACTCTGAACAAATAATTCATGTATATTCATATTCAAGATTCACTTACGGATGTGGTCTCACTTGTCCATGGATGAATTATTGAATTGAAATGCTTGGTCGTTTCGTCAATTGTACACTTCGTATCATCGTCACGTCAATTGTACACTTCGTATCATCGTCACGTCAATTGTACACTTCGTGTCATCGTCACGTCAATTGTACACTTCGTATCATCGTCACGTCAATTGTCTCCCCTCATTCAGTTTTCTATACAACGAAAACGCGCAGTTAATAGAATAGTCTGCCATGGATTGCGATTAAGAAAACGAAATGTACGAACCTTAGAAAATTGACTTTTTGAGGGTAACTTAAATTAAAATTCGAATTCGGTTTGTTTACGGAAATGGCTCAGCTCTACATAGACGAGATGAAAAAACTGGTGTTATATTATACGACTTAAAAATTATTTGTGTAAAACAAATTTTATAGCATAAATTGCATAGCACAACCACAATAATCTACTTTAATTCTAAACACTACAAGATCGAGAACAATTTTTGAGTGATAGCTGGAAATTTTCTTCTTTAAATATTTCACCATGATATTTCCATCTGCGCAAACGAAGATCGCATCATGGGAATTATTCAATATATATTTTGTCACGTTTAATTCTTTTATGCAGATAAACGTTTGTTCCGAAAAGTCTACATAACCTATACCTATTTTAGAAACCAGTTAACAACTGAAACATAAATTATATAAAGTCTTTCATGACAGAAATGAATCCAGAATGAGTTATTATCCATCAATATTATTTGATCAAGATTTATTGATTGCACAAATTAAAACCTAATCCATAATAACAGGCTCAGTATATGAGCCATACATTTAGCTAGCGCCGCATTGTGGCGGAAATGCCAAAGAGTGCCACATTGTGGCACACGTGTCATATAAGTACACGTTATTCTACACGTACCACAAATCCACAATGTAGCACACATGCCACATAATGCCACATTGTAGCACTATGCCACATAATGCCACATTGCACCACTCATGCCACACAATGCCACATTGTAGCACTCATGCCACATAATGCAACAATGTAGCACTCATGCCACACTGTAGCACTCATGCCACATTGTAGCACTCATGCCACGCAATGCCACACTGTAGCACTCATGCCACATTGTAGCACTCATGCCACACAATGCAACACTGCAGCACTCATGCCACACTGTAGCACTCATGCCACACAATGCCACATTGTAGCAATCATGCCACATAATGCAACACTGCAGCACTCATGCCACATTGTAGCACTCATGCCACATAATGCCACATTGTAGCACTCATGCCACATTGCAGTTCACAGAGCCACGTCAGGAATCAGGCTGCATTGAGCAAGGCTGCGTCGCTGCCTTTGATAAGTCGACAAAAGCGGCCACCAAATCTGCAATGCATTTGACAGATGTGGCGCAGGCCTACGCAGCAGGCAGGCCTAGGCAGCAGGCCTAGGCAAAAGCCTGCGCTAGAAATGAAAAAAGCGCCTCCCCAAATCATCGCGGCCGAGTGCCATCCATAGACTTTAGCTTCTGACGTGAGTGCTGTGGGGATTGTTGGGGACTTGTGGGTGGTGGGGAGTAGTGGGGAGGGGTGAGGAGGGGTGGGTGCTGGTGGGAAGTGGTGGGGGCTGGTGGGACGCTGGTGGGGAATGGTGGGTGGCGGAGTGGGGCTGGTGAGGAGTGGTGGGGATTGTTGGGGACTAGTGGGTGTTGGTGGGGAGTAGTGGGGAGGGGTGGGGAATGGTGAGGAAGTTGGGGAGAGGTGGCCTGGTGGGTGGTGGTGGGCTGTGGTGGGGACTAGTGGTGGATGGTGGTGAGGGGTGGGGAATGTTGAGGAAGTTGGGGAGGGGTGGGGAGTGGTGGGGGACTTCACAAACAGGCAGCCTGACAAGCGGAATTTAGCCGTCTGCACGCCGACATCTTGGTTTTTTATCGGCGTAAACGCGCGTTATTATCTGGCAACAAGAACGTCTATACGCATGTTGTTATCTGTTAAAAATAATAATAAATTTCTTAGCATTCATCAAATAACATCAACAAGCAACGAAATCTACACAGCAAGAATATCACCCATATGAGAAATCTTGGCCGGATTTTAGGAGGATTTAGGTTGATCTCCGGTTGGAATTTCAGAGCGAAGCTCATATTGAATCAGAAGTTGAATCATCAGCAAGATTCATCATCGGCATTGAATGATGCCGATGTTGAATTGATTTAAATTGCTGAAATATTATCAGAATCATCCATCTTTGAGCTTACTAATCGATGCGCTGAATCAGCCAAATCAGATCAGCACTCAGTTGAATCAGTACTACGTAAGCTGACCCATGAATAAGTTGAATAAGCAATAAGTTAAATCGGCACTAAGCTGAATCAGGCTCAAAGCTGTATTATGAATAATCTGAATCGGCACTAAGCTGAATCAACACTAAGCTAATAACGTATAACGTTCAATATAATGATCACTAAGTTGAATTAGTACTAAACAGACTTATGAAGAAGCTGAATCAGCACTCTGCTAAATCGGCACTAAGCTGAATCATCACCGCACTGAATAATTTATGCACCATGAGAGAATTACTGCGAAATAAAACGACCACCCGCAGGGCACCAACAATTCTGACCAATAAAGAACGCTTCTCATTTCATTTGTCCCACCTAGCTCTTCTTGTCTTAGCTAAGACAAGATATATCAGCGATCGTTATCGCTGATATATCTATAAATCGCCTGATAACGATCGCTGTGCCTGATTGGGTGGCAAAGTAGAAACTATTTAGACTTGTCTCAATAGTTTCTACTTCTCAATGATGAGACAAGTAATAATAATAATAATAATAATAATAATAATAATAATATTGCTTCC